GAAAATTAAATCTACTATCAAAATTAAATACTTTCTTGTAAAACTCAATTAAATTTTTTTCTCTTAAAAGAAAAATGTTATGGCAAGGCCATGTTACGCCCCAACTTACATACATTATGTTGCCGAATCATACTTAATACTGTCTAAATGTTATTAAAAAGAACTTTCCATACAAATTCGTTCTAAATATTGACTAAAGCCATGTGGTTGCTGTGCATTCAGGCGTTTTACACATAAACTGCAACGTCACTCGTATGTTATGGAGCTGAGTCAGAAAGACTCTGTTATCTAAGATCGTTTTTTTTGGCATTTGTGCGATTTCTAAATTTTTTATCAATTCGTCTTTCAGTATTCATTCATCCGTAGTAAACTTTTCCCAATATAACATCAATTGCAATCATTACAATTCATTTTGTAAACTAAATTACAGAAATGTTCTATTCAGGATTTAAAAACAGAAAATTAAATCTACTATCAAAATTATAACTTTCTTGTAAAAATCAATTATAATTTTTTTGCATGACAGAAAAATGTTATGGCAAGGCCATGTTACGCTCCAACTTTGATACATTTTGCTGCCAAATCAGATTGAATACTGTCAAAATGTCATGTATTTGATGTGTATTCAGGCGTTTTACACGCAAACTGCAACGTCACTCGTATGTTATGAAGCTGAGTCAGAAAGAACATGTTATCTAAGATCGTTTTTTGACATTTGTACGGTTTCTTGGTTAGGTTTATATATTTTTATGTCATGTATTTGTTGTGCATTCAGGCGTTTTACACACAAACTGCAACGTCACCCGTATGTTATGAAGCTGAGTCAGAAAGACCCTGTTATCTAATCGATTTTTTTTTATTTGTACGGTTTCTAGGTTTAGGTTTGCTATCTGACAATCTAAAAAATACGCCTGACCGCACAGAACCACAATGGCGTTTTTGTCAATATTTTGAACGAATTTGTATGGAAAGTTCTTCATAACACCGCCTTTGCCATAACATTGGTGTAAATACGGCAGAATCGATCTCCTTAAACTATTTAGAATGTTGAAAATGAAAAGCAAATTAACTAATTCATACCTATAAAGACATAAGTAGTGAATTTTTTCCAATATAAACATTAATTACAATCATTACAATTGATTTTGTCAACCGAATCAACAAATATGTTCATGATTTTAGAAGAGAAAACTAAATCGATTAACAAATTTGAACACTTTTTTGTTAAAATCATGTAAACAAATAAAATATTATAAAGATAAATTTGGAAGAATCACTACAAAACTTACCAATAATATTTTTATTCTCTTTGTTTTTCTACATTTCAACTTTTACAAAACTTACCTATAATGTTTTTATTCTGTTGTTTTTTTCTAAAATTTGACTTTTTTAGCAGATGCGTTAGCTATTTTATGTATTTTGTTCCAAAGGAATTTAAATTAGCTAATTTTAGTGCTAATACATGATTTATAATTAAATCTTGGACTGAACTGTGTTGGTTACGTCAATAATGCGTTTATGATTTAGGCGTGGGCGTATATTTTGGACAGGATCCAAAATCCAAAATCATAGTCTTGTTTTTACCAATATTAAAAATTCGTTAATTTATTATAGATACTCGTATTAAACAAATTTCACCAGCATCTTAGGGATTAAATTTGACTCTCAAGATGTTTTCTATCAATGTATTAAATATCTCCTTTATACTGGTCCTATCTTGAACAAATTCAAGATAGGACTTAATACTATCTATTACCAAATTAGAAGTAATCCATCATAATATTTTAAAACACGTGCAACTCTTATGCAACCGATGCAACTGCAACTGCAACTGCAACGACCATCAGATATCATCAGATGTCATCAGATGTCATGGATGATACATGACACACACATTACGACTTCCAAATCAATTAGAAGAAACGGTGCACTGAATTAAATTAGATATAGTGATGTCATTTTTGGGAGGAGATTTGTTCTTGGCCGAAATTAAAATAGATTCATGAGGTAGTAAAATAATTTGATTTTAGTTAATTATCTGAATTGAAAGGAATAGTCGTATCCAGATTTTACTTTTAGGTTTTGAATATTTTTGACAAATTTTGAAAATTGATGATCGTGGTTGTAGTTTATATTTATGTTAACTCAGATACTCATTTTATGGAAACAATTTTGCATAAACAAATTTCGAGGTTACTATTTTTTTATAAACTAGCTGTAAGTGGAATTCTGTCTTGAGGCAATTATGGCATCGTGCCTTGAGGCAAATTGCTGGAACTTCCCGCACCGTAACGAAATGATCGAGGAATATTGAATGTTTTCAAATAGATTATTATAAATATAGTAACATTGTCTAATATTTATAAGAATTATATAAACCGAATTGCAGAGTTGAAATTATTTCTAAAGTATATTAGAACTATAGTCAGAATTAAAAATAAAATCTGAAATATTTTCGATATACAAAATACTACAAAAAAAAAAAAAAAAAAAAAAAAAAAAAAGGAACAAAATTTTATTTTCCAAAATCAATTATTTTGTTAAGACAAGCAGAAAGTTCTTTGAATCATTTAAATCGGACGCTTAGTTCTCTCAAAAACTGCCATTTTTACATATTTAGCTCCGTATCTTCGAAATGGCTGGGCCTGCCTTTGCCAAAAACTAATAAACACTTCTCCCAATCATTACTAATTGAATGTTTTTTAGATCATTCAAATCGGATACTCCGTTCGCTCAAAATTCGATTTCTATTTTTTGCACTCTTTGCTCCGTATCTCCGAAACGGCTGGACCTGCCTTAGCCAAAAACTAATCAGCTCTTTTCCCAATCAATAGGAATCGAATGTTTTTTGAACCATTCAAATCGGTTGATCCGTGCGCCCTAAAACGTGACTGGAAATTTGTATCCACACATACATACACACACACACACACACACACACACACACACACACACATCCATTTTTTCTGAGGTATGCCAAAACGTTCAGAAACCTTCAAAACGTCGAGAAATGTAAAAATTTTCAATTCCGATTTTCGGCCCATTACAATAACTTACCCTACGGGAAGTTAAAAATTACCGATTTCTTTTTGGGGGCGAAGTTTATTTTATCCAGAAAATCCGTTTTGCTGATTTCATGTTTTCTCGACATTTATTGACATTCTGAATTGAATGAGATAAACTATGAAGAAGTATATGTGAGTGTGTTTATGTGAGCTAATTTATATATACTAAAATATTATATTCGGTTTAATTATAAAAGAACATCAAATTTTTGAAATTTGGAATGTTTTTGAAATTTTACTGGCCAATTTGTTTATTACCCAATTCTGCACAAGAAGTTTCATTTCAAAAATTTTGTAAATAAATAGCAATACTCCTCGACCTTCAATCTCAAGAAGTTTTACTTTAAAAAGTTTGCGAAAAATATTTATTTATTCATAAATAATTTTAATAAAATTTTACTTCTCGATTTATTCGAATTAACTCAGTTCGTTTATAAGAAGTTTCACTTCATAAAGTTTTTAAAAAATAGCGCCAGGTTTGCTCTTGAAATTTAACGCCTTAGAAGTTTTACTTCAAAACCCTTGTTTATATATTCATTTATTCATAATTTTACTGACGAGCAAACTAAAAAAATGGAAGGTAAATAGGAACACTACTGACGAGCAAACTGGTAAAAATGAAAATGAAAAAAGGAACACTGCTGACGAGTAAACTAAAAAAAAAATGAATAAACGAAGGAACTCTACTAATTAAATTAAAATTAAAAGAAACTCTACTGACGAACAAACTAAAATAATGAAGACAAAAAAAAAATTGAACAGAAAAAAAGAACTCTACTGACGAGCAAAATGAACAAAATGGAAAAACCAAAAGAGAACTCTACTAACGAGCAATCTGAAAAATTGGAAGGTAAATAAGAAGTCTACTGACGAGCAAACTGAAAAAATTAAAATTAAAAAGAAACTCTACTGACGACTAAAATAATGAAGAGTTTAGAAAATATACTGAAAAACTTAACAGATAAAAGGAACACTACTGACGAGCAATCTAAAAAGTTGGAGAAAAAAGGAACTCTACTGACGAGCAAACTGAAAATTTTGAATGAACAAGAAACTCTACTGACAAGCAAACTAATAAAATTAGAAAAACCTAAAAAAAACTCTACTGACGAGTTAACTAGAAAAATTAGAAAGACCAAAGAAACTCTATTGACGAGCAAACTCTACTGACAAGTAAACTAAAAAATTCACAGACAAAAAGGAACTATATTGACAAGCAAACTATAAAATTTAGAAGGACTAAAAAGCAAGCAAATTGAAAAATTGTAAAGAAAAGACGAGCAAACTGAAAAATTGGAAACTGAAAAAGGAACTGTACTGATGAGCAAAATAAGAAAAATTAAATTAAAAAGGAACTCTACTGACGAGCAAACTGAAAATTTGAAGAAAAACTACTGTCGAGCAATCTGTTAAGGGTGTGTCCATTAATCACGTGAGTTTTTTAGGAGTGAGTTTTTTGACGAAAAATCACGAAATATCACGTGGAGGAGAGATGGATACAGTAAGACATAACGTGTAATTATTTTTTTCTTGATTTGTTCTTAAAAAAAGCCAAATATTGTCAAAAAAAAAAAAATACATTTTTTTGTTCGTAACTACATCTACTATGATTTATTTATTTATTTTATTTACTACATTTGGTGATGAAGGGCGAGGGTAATTTCGAATATCACCACGTATCACCAAGTAGGAGAAAAGACCAAAAATCCTTAAAAAATCGATCACGTGATCAATGGACGTCCCCTAAATTAGAAGGCAAAAGAACTCTACACTGATAATTCTTATTCTATGCAACTTGCCTTGAGGCAAAATCGTACCTTAGTAAATTTTCTTAATTTTTCGTCGCCTCGGCCTGACTAAAGTGTCTTTTTCCGCGCATGTCCGTCGGCTCTACTAAAAGTCTTATGTATGTAATACGGCGCTAAATATAACCCACAACACGCCTTCCGACAACTACTCGGACCAAATATCATCATTTCACAAAAAGCACCAAAGCCAAAGCCAAGTCAGTCTATCGGACGAAATCGGACAAGTGTCATCAATCGGTGAAAAAAAATTTAAAATTCAAGTGTTTCCGGAATTTGAAGTGCAAAAGTTGTTTGAAAATCGCGCGCGAAGCTTGGAGTGAACTTAAAAGTTGTGATTGTGAGGAGCTTTTGTGTAGTGTATGTGGTAGAGGTTTAATTTGTTGGATAAAGTTTGTGGCTTATGATTTGTTAATAATTGGATATCTAAAAAATATAAATAAAAATTAACGCAATTTTTAAATTCGTAGTTACTTGTAAAATCAAATTTAAATGAAAAATACCAACTTTGATGCTAACGAAAAATTAAATATTATTTACTTTTAATGACAATGATATATGTTTAAAAATTAAAAATGTATAACAATTCTGAGACACCTATATAATCGAAGTTCAATAAATCTAGAATACCATGCAATCAAATTAAATCTGATTAAAATTATGTCTAATTGTCTGAAAATTAAATCTGATTTGTATGTGCAAAAAAGTTTTTAAGTAAAACAATTAAATAAAAATGCTATATACTTCGCACATTACCTAAAAAATCGAATATAAAAGCGTTGTTTCACAATTATCAACTAATTTTATATTGTCTTATATTTATTTCGCATTCATTTTTAAAGCCAATTTTTTTTATCCTTCCTAATTTTTTATACCTGACGTAAGAAAACATAAATAATTGTCTTTTTATTCTTCCGAAGGAGAAGTTTATGTTTTCATCAGAAAATCCGATTCGCTAATTTTATGTTTTCTCGACGTTGCTGGTCATTCTGAATCGAATGAGACCAACATTTGGAAAAAGTATGTGTGTGTGTGTGTGTACGTGAATAGATTTTTTGCCGTAAATCGACGTTTTCTCAAAAACGCCCGAACCGATTTCAAAAATTTAAAAGCCATTCGGTGTATCTCGATGAGGACTATCGTTTGTTAGTTTTGTGCGATGATCGGCCGAGCCGTTTCTTTGTAATTTGGAAAAAAATGTTAAAATTTTTTGTCCACATTTAAGCTCAAACTACCGAATCAATTTTAAAAAATCAAAAACTGTTCGAAAGATATTATTTGGAAAAGATATTGATTAGTTTTAGGTGAAAATCTACTGAGCCGTTTTCTTGTAAATTACTGTTGAAAAAAAAATTTATGAAACATTTTTTGGCGATATATATCATGGCATTATAAAACCTACTGAAATATTACGGCCTTACGACAAGCAGTTTAATTTTAAAAATTCATCAAAGCTTGTGAAAATGGGTAGTTTTTTTGACGTTTGTTCGAATTAAAATTAGACGATTTACTTGGTATAATGATAGAGTACTTGGTCTTATTGAACATACTAAATCATTAAAGTCCTACAAAAACTGATTCAATTATAAAAATTATTGATTTTTGAAAATTTGCTTTTAGAAAATACTCCGAGTTAACGTGTTCGTTCGTTTTCAATTATGTGTTGAAAATCCACATGGAATACTTTTAATCACTCATAAATTAATTAATTAGTCGATAATTTACACATATCAGGAAGTTCATGTAACTTGCCTCAAGGCAAAATACTAATACCAACTATTTATTATATTGTTTATTCACCTTTTCCGAAATTTTATTCGTAAAAACTATATTAAATGTGCATTTTATTAAGCAAAATGTATTAACAAGACAATAAATATAAGATACCAAAATTGAGTCAAAAAATACATGAAATATATTGCTTTATTTATCATAGCCCTTTGAGTATGTAATAATATAGCATAAAATTTGTAAAATAAACATTAAAATTTACATTAGTGACCTTACACCTAATTGCCCTAAATATATAAATAAAACGTGTAAACGTTATGAAAGAATTTTTAAATAAGAATTAATAATGACTGTCTAAACGTGAGACAATTTATAAATAAACTTACAAGTAAAAATACAGTCAAGTAATAAATATTAACTCGATTATATCTTTACTCTTTATGATTATATTTCAAGGATTTCGAGCCAATTATACCTATAGAATTTACCAAAGAAAACATAAAATTAGCAAATGTAATTTTCTGGGGAAAACAAACTTTTTCTTAGGGCAAATTACCCGAATCCCCGAATCGGCAAAAACATGTTCCCTTGCAACGGGTGGTTCATCTATCTAGAGGTCCTAGTGATCTAGTGATCTTACAGTTTAGATAATTTCTGTAAAGAAAACATATAAAGTATTATACATCGTTAGAAAGGTCTCAAAATTCTTAGTTTTTTTCCCATATATCGCAACTTCAAATTCCGAACGGTGTGGCCTACAGGCGAGTTGCCGTCGTAAAATTTCAGGAAAATCGGAAAATCTCGAGAAAATTATATGAACACACTTAACCATTCATATACCATTTTATTCATAATTTTATTCTGCATCTTTCGTACGAACAAAGTTTTTTCGTATCTTTTACGGTTTAGATAGTATAGAGCAATCTGTGTGGTTGTTAACTGGTCAAAATGCAAAGGGCGGTTAGGTTGGAGCAACACTCTTCACGATTCGATATTTCTGTAAAGAAAACATATAAAGTATTATACATCGTTAGAAAGGTCTCAAAATTCTTAGTTTTTTTCCCATATATCGCAACTTCGAATTCCTAACGGTGTGGCCTACAGGCAAGTTGCTATCGATAAATTACAATTTTTAAATGGCTACTTACGATTTTATCTAAATTCGAACAATTTTCACGGAGCAACAATTTTTCTGTTTTCTGTCTAATTTCTATATAATTCATTTATATCCAACGGTTTTTACAAATATCTGCCAGAAATCTTTCAATTTGTCAGATACTAATGTAACATGTCCATCATTTCGTTTAGTTGCGAGATGATTAAATTAGCCAATAAAAATTAACTTTGTGTAAACAAGAATGAAACCATGAACCAACAGACGAGCTCATCAAACAAAATAGTACAAGGAAAATAGTCATATATATATATATATATATATATATATATATATATATATATATATATATATATATATATATATATATATAAACTAGATTTCTTATTTATTGAGACACGATATAAAGCCCTTTGGAAATAAATAAATATTCATTACAATTACGAGAGTCAAATTGTTTATACAAAAGAACGATCTAACTTTCTTCCTTCCAATTTCTGTCTTTAACTTTTATCTACATCGTTACAATTCCATTAAAATTAATCAATTAGGACTTATTTTTGTACATATATCACCTTGGATGGTGATTTAATGACTTAGTCATTATTTCTTATAGCCATATAAACTTTAAGTGACCTTTGGTAGAAAATAGGTCACTTGATACCCGGAGTTACTCCGGGGAAACTGGAGTAGTAAAATAAATTTGAAAAAAAAAAATGCAAAACAGAAAATTAATTTTTGACATAGAATGTGTGTAATGCAAATTTTTAAGAGGCATTTTGTTATTTTAATAAAAAAGTTTCTGTTCGAAAATTCTATTTTATTATTTTTTGGCGACGTTTCCAGTCATTATGAATCTTTTGGTACAGAAAATTGGCATGCAACAAATTTATAAAGTAGTTTATAAAATTTGATGCTGACTCATATTTATTTATTTTTTTTCTTTTTATCTTTATTTTCCTTCATTTCTTTATTTATTTATTCATTATTTATTTTATCTATTTTTTTAATTTTTTTTCTCAATCTTTTTTTTATATTCAAATAAATAAATATATATAAAACTTATTATTAACGTCAGCCGTTAGTTTTATATTTAAATCAGAACCAAATAAATAATTTTATGAAAATATACTTATTTACCACAGTCTGAGTTAAAACATTGGCATTTGTACAAACATTTGCATATTGTTGCACATTGTACAAATATTATTTGCATTCTATTTGTATTAAAACTTGTACTAATAATATAAAACGTTTCATTGGAATTTACTTTAACATATGTTCAAGTGAAATTTTAAAGTATTTTAATTCGTTTGATGTAATTAAATTAAATATATATATATATATATATATATATATATATATATATATATAATAAACAATTATATAATTACTAGGCATTTTTAAATTATTTAGAATAATGAAGTGAAATGAACAAAAAAATAAAATAGTTATAAATTTGGTGGCGCTAAATTTGAACAAATAATTGAAAATTGAATTATTTAAATAAAAATGTATAAATTACTTAAAAGTTGGAATAATTTATAAAACTGTGTTAAAAATTTAAAGTTGTTAGAAAAGTTATTTGGTTATTTAAGAAAATTTATTAAAAAATTGATTGAAGTGCAAAAATTAGATGTTTTATATTTGAAGTTACATATTTGAATCTCACTAATTAAAACTTTCATAAAATAACATTATGTATTAACTAATATTAATTTTAACATTAGTTTACTTTACTTCAAATCAGTTTTCAAACAATTACCGATAATTTGTAGACCGAAAAAATAATTTAATCATCTTAAGAGAAAAATTGCTGGTTGTTCTTATTTCATTATTAAAATGTATCATTTTATTATTAATTTATTAAAATAAAGTATAGAAAATTAAATATGATTTGATAATTTATTCTAAAAATTTTAATTGGTTCTTTATAATATTCAAATAATAATGAAAAATAATGTATAAATAAAACACTACTTAATGAATTATAATAAAATTAATATTTAGATAAAAATTAATTAAATAAAAAAAAACTTATTAACTAAATTCAAATTGTTTTATGTTTTGTCTGTTAAAAATGATTAAATTAAATGTGAATTTTAAATAGGTATCAAAATCTTTATTCATAGTGTTTTAAATTTTTTTAGAAAAGATGATTTGAAATTTATAAAAAGTGTTTTTAGACTGGTGATGTGACAAAAATGTTGAAAATTGTGTGAAATTGTGTACATTTTGGATTTATAATAAAAGTGACAAAAAAATAGAACAAAAAGGACGTATTTTTGGATTTTATCAAAATGAAGATTGCACCTACTTTTAAGGCTAAGCCTCCACCACTAGGTAAAATAGTATATAAATAAATGTATATATATATATATATATATATATATATATATATATAATAAGATAGTTTATTTATTTTAACTAATTTAGAGCCAAAATACAACATAAAATCCAAATCTCTCGCCTAAGTCAAAAATAAACAAAAAACTTTTAAATTAGTTGCCATTATCCTAAAATAGTACCTTCTGGTCATCTTTATCGTCAAAAAAATGTTTACACGTTAAATTTTGAACAAAAAGTAAGTTTGTTTTCTCTCAAACTAAAAGAGAAACATTGGACAAGTTTTTTTGTTCGAGTCATTATTAGCCATTAGCTATTTATAAAATATTTTCTCAAATATAGTAAATAAGGCAATAAAATATAGTATATTTAGTAAATAATTTCATTAGTGTTATACTCACAATAAAAATACGAAAAAAATACAATTCTGTTACATTTAGTTCTTAAGATACAGTTTAACTATATTAGATGCATCATCGAGAGAAACATCCCACTCAGCTTGTAAGCTTATATATCTTAATATATAAGCTTACAAACAAATTGCATTAATTTTATTGTAAAAATTGAACAACTTATATTACAGCAACAAAGAACTATTGCAATTTATTCAGAAAATTTCCCAATTAAATATAGAATTTTTTTTACTATTTTGCTATAATTTGTTATCTGTTCCCTTTCTTAAATACACCACTAGTTTCCCAAAAACCATTTATGATTTGGTTATAAATTCATATTTGTTACTTCTTATAATTATATTTGTTCTACAAATTAATCAGTTATATATTTTTTATATGATATATTTATATAAATTTTATCCCAAAAATTAAACCTAAAGGTAAATTTACGTGCTATAGTTGGTGGAGCACTCTATGGAGAGCGCAAAGAATTAAATTTGAGGCAAAGGAAAGAGGCCGTGTTTGTAATCAATTTTTTTTTGTTCATCATTATATGATTTTGTTGAATATAGTTGAAAATTTTTCCCATTGCACAAAACTCGTGCATTCGCTCCGACTAAAGTTTGACCTGATTTTAAGGTAAAAATAGATCTTAAAGATTTAAGATCGCGCCACACTGGAATACAAGAATATAAACAACTTTTGAGACTCGTATTAAAACACAAATTGGTCTTCATTTAACACTTAATTCGTTCTTTTTTATTATTCGAGAAAAAATAAATGCATTTCTTGCCAGGAATTCGGTGCACAAACATCGGGAATAAAAATAGTGCAAACCGTTCTGAATTCCTACCATTTTATATATTGTAATTTTAAATTATTTTAGTTCAAATGATTCATAAGTCTAAGGCAAATATTTTGATATGAAATATTTATATCCGGAGTTGCTAGTAAAGGCAATAGTGGCCTGAAATAATATTTGCGTAATTAAATTTAATTATAAAAGTTAGATTTATTTTCGTCTCAGGATTTGTTCAGGTGAGGCGCAGGCATTTTGCCAAAATAAATTATATATATAATTTTATATATAAATGTCTATACGGTGAATAATAATTATTTAAACAAGAAACTGAAATAGTTTGACTCAATTTTTATATGATTTTTTTTTCATTTTCAATGTCGAAGAAACTGCAGAGATTTTGTCTAGAAAACGTTTCTATATATCATTTAAAATTTGACCCGTTTGAAATTATTATTTATAATTATAAATATAAATTAAAAACAAAATAAATTTTATACTTTTTAAGGACAGGCTTAAATAAATTTTTCATAATAAAACAAACGATTATAATTTAAGTTTTATGATCCAACTCGACTTTAAAATATAAGATGTCAAATGTTACAAAATCAAAGTGTATTTTTGAATTAGGCGCCAATTTGTTCGCCAAGATAAATATACTAGTTGATTTGAAAAGAATACACATGGGATTTACAAAATACGTTGAAAAACAAAGTTTAGACTTGTATATGAAAAACTATATACTATTTGTCAATTCATTGTTATTTATAGAAGACAAATTATAGATAAACAACTTGAAATACATAGCAAACACTGCAGCTTTGCTGTTACTTCAATTTTAATTGCTTGCGCTCTCCATAGATGGCCCCATTGACTGTAGCACGTAAATTACCCCTGGGTTTAATTCTTGGATAAGATTTATATAAATATAAAATATAAAAAATAACTGATTAATTTATAGCACAAAATATGTGCGTATAAAATATATTTTCGACTAATTTACAAATACATGTTTACAAAAATGTCTAATAAAAAAATAAATCAAAATTAATTAGAGAATCAGTTTTTAAGAAAAAGTAATGCATTTTAGGACAAATTGTTCATTATTTTTATAATATTGATTTATTATTGTGTACTTTGAATTTGACTATTGGTAATAAAATTTGTAAGAAATTTAAGTGTTTGCGCTTTCCATAGAGGGCGCCACTAACTGTAGCACGTAAATTTACCACCGGGTTTAAATCTTAGATAAGATTTATTTAAATATACTATACAGAATATATATACTTAAAAATATATTTTCGACTAAATCACAAATGCATTTTTACAAAAATGTCTAATAAAATATAAATAGAGAATCAGTTCTTAAAAACAGTAAATAATTTTAGGACGAATTGTTTATTATTTTTATAATATTAATTTTAATTCAACAATGATTTTTAGAATAAAATTTGACTGATAATTGTTTAAAGTGATTTATTCTAGTACAAATAAGACTACGGATTTTCTAAAATATTCTACAATTTTTTGCAAAAATATAACAATTACCGTAAAATGTTTAATAACATAATTTACATCAATGCTGACGTAAATGTATGCAAATATTTTAATAATAACAATATTTTAATAAATTCTTATGGAATTAGTCCAATGAAAATAAAAGTAAATTTGTTCAATATTATATTATTATATTATATTATTATTTGCAAACGACTGAAAATTTGTGTAACTAGAAATTAAAATGAATTTCAAGATAAATGTAAATTTTTACCCAAACGTTTTTAATAATATTATCATATATCTATTTTATAAGAAAATCCAAAGATAAATTCAAATACTATTAAATGATTTTCAAATATTAAAATAAAATTTTTTAAAAGCTTTTGTATTGAAAATAGCTAAATATTAAATTACTTTACGTCTAATTTTACATAACACTTCATGTTCTCGAATATTATATTACATGTCTTGTTACATGTTGACATTTGAGTCTAATTATGATAAATTAGACATTGGACAGGATCCAAAAAATCTTCAAAAACTTGATTTTTTTTGCAAATTCTATGTCTTGGTCTTAGATAAAAAAAACAATTTTGACAAATGAAACAAAAACAGTTTTTTTAGAGTTTTGACTCCTGCGGATTTAATATTTTTAGCTTACTAATTAACAATTTTTATTTGACATCCTAAAATGTACTATTAGTTCATAGTTATTTATAACGTGCATCACTTTCGCATATGTCTTATAACTTTTAAACTATTAGAATTATTTAAATGATGTGTTCGACGAATTTGTACGAAATTAAATATTCTAAAGATTGTCTAACAATAAAACACTCTATACCAACTCGCTATACTCTAAAATGTCAATAGAATATGAATAACTAGTGTTCTCATATTTTTATCAATAACTTTCAAATCATTCGATTAATTTTTGTCAAATTTGTTTAAAATTGAACTATTATCTATAATCTCAAGTTAACAAATGAAGTTATTACTTCATTTTTAATTATTTACGCTCTCCATAGAGGCGCCACTCTATTTCTGAGGTTTAGTTTACTAATTCTGCCTCATAACAGACCAATGTTATGGCAAGGCCATGTTACATGCTACTGAATTATACTGAATACTGTCAAAATGTCATGTATTTGCTGTGCATTCAGGCGTTTTACACATAAACTGCAACGTCACTTGTATGTTATGAAGCCGAGTCAGAAAGACCCTGTTATCTAATATAGTTTTTTTGACATTTGTGCGGTTATTTAGTATGGAAAGTTGTTCATACCATAGCCTTGCCATAACATTTGTCTCTTAGGCTGCAAAATCGGTCTATAATATTTTGTATATCACTTACAAATGTATGTTACATCATTAAATCAAAACTATTTCATAATTAAATCACTCTGTAGTATTAAACTGTCATTGTCAGATTTTACCTGTCGCAGGAAATGAATGTACAAGTACGTCCGTGTATTTTTTCACGATTTTATTATTATTTCGTTAAATTTCAAAGTTCCTGTTTCAAATTCGCCGGAAATTGATTCGATTCGATTCAATACTGCTGTATTGTGCGTGACAGGAGGAATTCGAAAAACATTGCCGTACGATTTATTGGAAAATAAATCCGGATGCTATTTTTAAATAACATTCGAATATATATATATATATATATATATATATATATACATATATATATACATATATATGTGGGACGGATGTATATTTTGCGTAATTGTTTTTTGGTTTGTAACAGACTTTAGTTAAAAAAATTTCAACTCTGTTATCAATCAGTGCTAAAAGCTTTTTTCTTTGGAACCATATTGTTACTCTAGGTTGCACACAATGTGCTAGAATAGTTAAAAAGGGACTCTACTAACGAGCGAACTTATTTTTGGTCTTGAAGAATCTCTACTGATGGGCAAAATTGATTTTGATCTAGAATATAACTAGCTGTAAGTGGAATTCTGTCTTGAGGCAATTATGGCATCGTGCCTTAAGGCAAATTGCTGGAACTTCCCGTTGAATACTGAATGTTTTCAAATAGATTATTATAACAATTGTATCATTGTCTAATATAAAATAATAAAATAAAATCTGAAATATTTTCGATATACAAAAAACTAAAAAAAAAAAAAAAAAATTGAAACAAAATTTTTCTTTCCAAAATAAATTATTTTGTTAAGACAAGCAGAAAGTTATCATTCAAATCGGACGCTTAGTTCTCTCAAAAACTGCCATTTTTTACATATTTAGCTCCGTATCTTCGAAATGGCTGGGCCTGCCTTTGCCAACAACTAATAAACACTTCTCCCAACCATTACTAATTGAATGTTTTTTTAGATCATTCAAATCGGATACTCCGTTCTCTCAAAAATTCGATTTCTATTTTCTGCACTCTTTGCTCCGTATCTCCGAAACGGCTGGACCTGCCTTCGCCAAAAACTAATCAGCTCTTTTCCTTATCAATAGGAATCGAATGTTTTTTGAACCATTCAAATCGGTTGATCCGTACGCCCGAAAACGTGACTTCAAATTTGTATCCATATATACATACACACACACACACATCTATTTTTTCTGAAGTATGCCAGAACGTTCAGAAACCTTCAAAACGTCGAGAAATGTAACAAGTTTCAATTCCGATTTTTGGCCCATTACAATAACTTACCCTACGGGAAGTTAAAAAGGGGCTATACTGATGAGCAAACTTTATTTCGATCTAAAAAATAAATAAAAGGAATCTACTGACGAGCAAACTAGATTTTAAACTTGAACATAAAAAAAGAACTCTACTGACGAACAAATTTGATTTTAATCTAGAATCTAAAATATGGACTCTACTGATGAGCAAACTTGATTCTGATCCTAATAGTAAAAAATAAAACTCTACTGATGAGGAAATTTCGTTCTAATCTCTAGGATCTAAATAAAAGACTCTACTGATGCGCGAACTTGATTTTGATCTTAAACATAAAAAGGGACTCTACTGAAGAGCAAATTTAAATTCGATCCTGTAGATAAAATGGGGCTCTTAACATTAATTCAGAATCTAAAAAGGGATTCTACTGACGAGTAAAATTTACTTTTATCCCGAAAAAAAGGAACTATACTGACGAACAAATTAAATTCTAAACTAAAAATTAAAAAAAGACTACTGACAAGCAAATTAAATTCTAAACTAAAAGATAAAAATCAACTCTACTGACAAGCATATCAAATTTTAAACTAAAAAATGAAAAAAGGAACTCTACTGACGAGCAAATTAAATGTTAAAATAAAGAATAAAAAATAGGACTCTACTGACGATCAAACTTTTACCTCAGATTAAAAAAAAACAAAGACTCTACTTATACACGTATATATTGTTCTTATATCATTTATTTAAATTAATCAGGTTTATCTTTACTATATTACATATTTATATAAACTTTATCTAAGACCTAAACCCAGGGGTAGATTTATGTGCAACCGTTTGTAGTGCCATCTATGGAGAGCGAAAACAATTAAAATTGCTTTTTTATTATTTTTTTTATATGTATTTTCATAATAAAACTCTTACTACAATCTAATTATTTCTGCCGTCATCATCCAAAAAGCTTTCATTGATTTTGTCAACTGACATAAAAAGTGACATAATAATGGAATCTAATTACTATTGTGTCCGAATTTGGGTCAAATCGTTTTTTTGAATGACTCAATTAACAATTGATTGATTGGTTGATTGATTGATTATTCAATTTATTGTGTAAAGTTTAGGTCATTCCCGAAATTGGATTTGGAAATGCGATGCAGGGATTTTTGTAAAACGCTCCAATAAATGAAAAAATTAAACTATTCAGAATAAATAGATAGACAAATAATATTTTAGTTCGATAAAGAGACTTCAGCCAAATCTCTGAAATGGCTTTGAGCTTAATTACAACATGCTCTAACTAAATTTTTAATTAACGTCTATTTTTTCCCCAAGGTATTTGGTCTCCAAGTTCCTCCCAAACACAATCAGGAGACCAGACAGACAGAAAAGACAAGGAACCAAGTCCGCCAATAGCACCAATTTGGACACCAAGGAGCGCCCAAGCAAGCCCAGTGGCCGAGAGAAAGGAATTTAGGCCAGTCAGTTTTGAAAGTCCTACACTGCCCAGGCGAAAAACCGAAGTAAGGGATAATAGACACAAACACATCAAATTTTTCCAGACAATAAATCTGATTTTTTATCATTTTAGACTCCACAAACAACTCCGACAGCTCAACCACCTTGGCAAAACGGAGCTACAACAACTACACCTCCAACTTTTACTACAACTCCTTCGTCCCCAATAGCCCTTCCAGCCCCTCCTCCGCCGCCTCTGCCTGCTCCACCAAGTCTGAGTGATAATTTAAATGCTGCCATAGATACCAGGAAACTCACCAGCTCCTGGTCTGCTCCTGTTGACCTTCAGGATCAGGATAATAAGGCTCCGTTCACGTTCCAGGAGAAAAAGGACTTTTTTTCGAGCGTTGGAACTGGCGGAGATAATCTACAGGTAATAATAGATAGTGACTAGTGGTGTATGGCATAGTGCCTTAAGGCAGATTGCTGGAACTTTCCGTACCGTAAAGAAATATTCGAGAAGTATTAAACGTTTTCAAAAATATTATTACAAAAACTGTAACTCTCATTATTTTTGCATAATATCGCATTTTCAAATCCAATTTCGTGAATGCCCTAAAGTTTACACAACAAATTGAATAATTTGGGACTCTACTGACGAGAAAACTTGATTTAGAATCTTAATAAAAGGACTCTACTGACGAGCAAATTTTACTTCGATCTAGAAAATAAATAAAGGGACTCTACTGACGAGCAAACTTGATTTCGATCTTGAAGATTAAAAAAGACTCTACTGACGAGCAGATTTAATTTTGTAAAAGATAAAGAAGGACTAGAACATTAACAATCGTCATTTCATTTCGAATTCAATTTCAAAAAAAAAAATAGTTGTATAATTAACGCAAAATTGAAAAATCGCTCCCGTATAGTCACAGTCTAAACGCATTTGCAAATAATTCTGTGCGACATTTGCACTTATACTGTGCTTAGCTTGGCGGCATTTATAAGAACTAAAATGATTGTTGTTAAATTGAGGAGGCTACATTTTAATACATATATCTTGTTTTATACTTTTGGACCGGTTCAATTTTCATTTATTTGTTTATAACTTTTAAACTAATTGTCCGATTGTTTTGCAATATCCAGCAAATTTTTAGCCAATTAAATTATCTACAACTTTTGTTAATAACAAAATGTTGTATCTCATATCCTTTTACCCAAAATTTGCAATGAAACAGGTTGTTGTTAAATTTTGGAGGTTAGGTTGCATCAGTATATCTTGCTTCACACTTTTGGATCAGCTCGATTTTTATTTATTTATTTATAACTTCCAAACGAAATGTCCCACCATTTTGCAATATTCAGCAAATTTATAGCCAATTAAATTATTTATAACTTTTATTAACAACAAAAATTGGTATCTCTTGTCCTTTTATCAAAAATTTACATTTAAAAAGGTAGTTGCTTAAATTTGGCGGTCACATCGTACACATATATCTTACTCTGTCACTCTTACTCTGTCAGGTATATGTTGCTCTTTTTCGCCCTAGTGTTTTATATATATCTCTCTCTCTCTGATTTTCTCACTATATACTGTTGTCTCTTTTACGTTTAATCAAAACAGACTCTATATCACATCGCGACTTAAGAAGTTTTACTTCAAAAATAAAATTCTATTTTACTAATTTATACATCGCCAACCTAAGAAGTTGAATTCAAATGTAAATCATAAATCAATCAATTTATCTCCAGAACATTAAAATTCTTGAGAATTTCCAGCTCTTAAAATTCTTTGTTCAAATAATTTCTGCAAATAGTTTTTTTTATAAATTTCTAAACCGGTTCAAACCGATTTCTAGGGAAAATAATATTCCAAAACCGATTTTCCAAAATGTCGATTTTTATATCTATATATGTACTTTTATAATTGTTTTTAGGGCAGTAAATATGTTCAGTCAGTTACTAGAAATTTGCTCTTAAAATTAGTCACAGTCTAAACGCACTTGCAAATAATTCTGTGCGACATTTTCACTTATACTGTGCTTAGCTTGTCTGCATTTTCACATTTTTCAATAGTTTTCACAAAATTGGAAAAGTGCTCCAGTACATAAACAGTCTAAACGCACTTGGGTGAACATTTGTACCAGAGTGGCGCTTAGACTGTGCTTAGCCTGGGAAGTTTTTTGAATTTTTAATCCAAAATTACAAAAATATTTTATGGAAAATAAAAAAAAATGTAATAATTTTTTATCTCCAAGAGCAATTGTTTTATCAATACAAGCAAAATTTTTTTTTAAATCATTCAAATCGGATGCTTAGTTCACTTAAAAACTGCCATTTTTTGCGCATTTAGCTCTGTATTTACGAAATGGCGGGTCCTGTCTTTGCCAAAAACTAATCACCTCTTCTCCTAATCATTACAAATTGAATGTTTTTTAGATCATTCAAATCCGATACTCCGTTCTCTCAAAAACTCGATTTGTATTTTCTGCACTCTTTGCTCCGTATCTCCGTAACGGCTGGACCTGCCATTGCCACAAACTAATCAGCACATCTCTCTATCAATAGGGATCGAATGTTTTTTAAACCATTCAAATCGGTTGATCCGTGCGCCCGAAAACGTGGACGAAAAAATGCGGACATACAAAACACACACGCACACCCACAAATACACACTTTTGTGAAAACTATTGAAAAATGTGAAAATGCCGCCAAGCTAAGCACAGTATGAGTGAAAATGTCGCACAGAATTATTTGCAAATACGTTTAGACTGTGACTATACGGGAGCACTTTTTCAATTTTGTGTAAATTAGGCATCTATTTTCTTTTTTGAATTTGAATTCGAAATGAAATGATGATAGCTGTTAATGTTTTGGAGATAAATTGAATTATGATTTATGATTTACATTTGATTTGCTCAGATATAACAATAAGATAGCAAAAACAATATATACAATATTTGTAATAATATATTTGAAAACGTTTAAAATTTCTCGAATATTTTATTACGGTTCGGGAAGTTCCAGCAATTTGCCTTAAAGCACGATGCCATGCGCCCCACTAGTTTTTTTTTATAAAAAGTGATGTCAATGTGATTTTCCAGGAGAAGAAAACTGGTTTGTTCACATCCTCAAGTGGAAGCAATTTGCAGGACAAGAAAAGTTTGTTTTCCTCCTCCAGTGGAAGCAATTTGGACAAATCTTTCAAAAGTTTTTCTTCAGGAAGTGGTGCTGGTTTAGCTGGTCTTGCTGGCTCAACACCAGTTAGTGAAAGTAAGGCAAATATGACCCTATTTTTTTAGGCATAAATTGTTTATTTTTATTATTTTTTAGGTTCTTATTCCAAGTTTCCTGGTTCTGTAGAAAAAGAACTTTTTACCAAGAAAAGTGAAGAATTTTCTAAAGTCATCAAAGAGTACAAAAGCACTTCCAGAAATTCTGAGTTGCTATCAGAAGAAAAACGCGAAGAACGATATTCCAGGTAATTTTGGATCTGAAAAACTTTCTGCTTGTATCGACAAAACAATTGCTTTTGAGGATAAAAAAATATTACATCTTTTTTTGTTTTTCATAAAATATTTTTGTAATTTTCGATTAAAAATTCAAAAAATTACCCAGACTAAGCACAGTCTAAGCGCCACTCTGGTACAAATGTTTACCCAAGTGCGTTTAGACTGTTTTGTGTACTGGATCGCTTTTCCAATTTTGTGAAAAAACTATTGAAAAATGTGAAAATGCCGCCAAGCCAAGCACAGTATAAGTGAAAATGTCGCACAGAATTATTTGCAAATGCGTTTAGACTGTGACTATACGGGAGTACTTTTAATTTTTTGTTAATTAGTACAAAAATGTAATTCTGAGCTAAAAATTGCAAAAATTACCCAGACTAAGAACAGTCTAAGTGACAAACTGGTGTAAACATTCTTGAAAATGCGTTTAGACTGTTTCTGTATAGGAGCGTTTTCTAATCTTGTGAGAAGAAAAACTAAAAAATATGAAAATTCCGCCAAGCTAAGCACAGTATAAGTAAAAATGTCGCACAAAATTATTTGCAAATGCGTTTAGAATGTGACTTTACAGGAGCGCTTTTCCAATTTTGTGAGAAAACTGTTGAAAAATGTGAAAATGCCGCCAAGTTAAGCACAGTATAAGTGCAAATATCGCACAGAATGATTTGCAAATGCGTTTAGACTGTGACTATACGGGCGCACTTTTTCAATTTTGTGTAAATTAGGCAACTTAGGTATTTTTTTGAAATTGAATTCGAAATGAAATGACGATGGCTCAAGAATTAACTTAATTATAAATATACGAAACTTTTAATTGAATTAGACATTGCTTGGGAGCAAAGATATTCGAAAATATCCATATTAAGGACCACCCTAATATATATATAATTCTTAGGCAGCTTTTATACAAATATAAAAAGTACAATCTACAAACTACAAAATATTTAAGATCAATAAATGAATCACATAATTGTATAACTAAAAACTGCTTTTTAACATAAAAATTGTTATAATTTTTTTTATAAATAATAATTATTATTATTATCCTGAAATTGTTTGACAATTTCCATACATGATGCTACTAAATCATACTGAATACTGTCAGAATGTCATGTATTTGCTGTTCATTCAGGCGTTTTACACATAAACTGCAACGTCACTCGTATGTTATGAAGCTGAGTCAGAAAGACCATGTTATCTAACAATTTTTTGACATTTGTGCGGTATCTAGGTTAGGTTTTCTAAGCACAGTATTAGTGAAAATGACGCACAGAATTATTCGCAAATGCGTTTAGACTGTGACTATAAGGGAGCACTTTTTCAATTTTGTGTAAATTAGGCAACTATTTTTTTGTAATTGAATTCGAAATGAAATGACGATTGTTAATGTTCTGGAGATAAATTGACATATGATTTATATTTGATTTGCTCAGATATAACAAGATAGCAAAAATAATGAAAGTTACAGTATTTGTAATAATATATTTGAAAACGTTTAAAATTTCTCGAATATTTCATTACGGTACGGGAAGTTCCAGCAATTTGCCTTAAGGCACGATGCCATACACCACTAGTTTCAATCTAATTTCTATTTTTTTTTTCAGTTCAAGTGGAGATCCGATTCCAGTAAGACCAGTTATAGATCCAGTTGGATCTTTTGGGGAAGTTCTAGCTTCTACCGGAACCGGAGCAACAAAATTCGGCACAGATACTGGATTTTCCGGTACGACAACCGGAATTTCAACCAGCACCAGTACAAATTCAACAACCAATAACGTCAGTGCAAAATTGCCCAGAGTACAAAATCCGACGATTACTTTGTTGCAGAAGGCAAGAGGTAAGTTAATAGACAAAAATATATTAAGGTGGTCCTTAATATGGATATTTTTGAATTTCTTTGCTCCAAGGGCTCAAACTCTTCCAAAGTAATAAATAAAAATTCTGTAAAAGTTTTAGTTCTTAATATTAACATTTAGATAGTCCGCAATTCAATTAAAAGTTTTGTAAATTTATTATTAAGTAAATTCTTGCGCCATCTGTGATAGCATTTGCAAACTCAAATATTATGACACTTCGGAATATTCATAAAACACTTAACCTCTAATTAAATCCATGTGTACTGTTTAACGAAATATTTATTCAAGATTAATTTTGCATCAAAATATTTATTTAATTGGTGATTTTGACGCTCAAATCAGCAGTAATAAATTGCTATCAAAATTACAAGCTTTCTATCACAGATGGCGCAAGAATTTACTTAATGATATATGTTAATAGTAAATATACGAAACTTTTAATTGAATTGCGGACTATCTAAATGTTGATATTGAGAGATAAAACTTTTAGAGAATTTGTTTTTATTAATTTGGAAGCGTTTGAGCCCTTGGGAGCAAAAAAATTTGACAATATTCATATTGAGGACCACATTATATATATATATATATATATATATATATATTAAATTTAAATGAAATTTAAATAAAAATATAAAATCGTCAAATTAAAATCCAATGTCATGTTTTGTAAGCAATTTTTATAATAACAATCTATAACTGTATAATTAAATTATCCTGCACGATTTTCTTAATTGTTATTCATAAATGTGATCTATTGATATATATGTTTATGAATGTTTTTATAGTTTAAACATTATTTGTGAATCTGAAGATTTTCATCAAAACTTTAGATTAAAAGTTTTAGATCGAACTCAGGATTCCAATTTTTTTAGAAAAACGTTTTCAAAATTTACTTTTTAAATGATAGAATAGATGTTCGAGGCAATTTAGCCCTTAAATAGACCAGTATTATAGCAAGGCTATGTTACGTTGCGTTTTTTTCATATAAAAATGGTACTAAAAACTGACAAAATCTATTGGTTGCTGTGCAGTCAGGTGTTTTAGATGAAAAAGCTAACCTAGAAAACGTTCAAATGTCAAACAAGTAATCTTATCATAAGTGCTTCTTTGTGATGTGCTATAATAAACATATGAGTGAAGTTAAATTTTATGTGTAAAACAGCAACTACATAGTATGTTGACAGTTTTTAGTACTATTTTATATGTTAAGGTTTATTTTACTACTGCAGAATCAACCCCTAAGTGTCAGGAAATGCCAAATAGTGATTTTGTTTTAAATTTATATTTAAAACAATTCAAAGCGCTTTCCAAACAGTATAAGTCTATGGTAGAAACTATTGTGCCGATTCGGCCGCTAGAACCATATTAAGGCTACTGAATCATACTGGAATACTGTCAAAATGTCATGTATTTGCTGTGCATTCAGGCGTTTTACACATAAACTGCAACGTCACTCGTATGTTATGAAGCTGAGTCAGAAAGACCCATGTTATCTAACATCTGTTAGCATCCTGAGAAATACGCCTGACAGCACAGCAACCATATGGCTTAGTTAAAATTTAGAACGATTAGTATGGAGAGTTCTCTATTTACATCAATGTGCAACAATGTTGTATATTTAGCATTTTGTTGTAGTATATCTGTCTCTTACAATATACTCTAAACATGATACAAATCTTAACACAATCCCAACAGTATTTATTTGAATTGCTTAAAACTTTACCTTAAAATTTTACAAAATGGTTTTTTATTATTTTTTAAGCAGAAGGGCAGTTGCCCAAGGGCGCGAGTTATTTGGAAGAGACCTCAAAAATTCCAAAGAACAAAGTCCGGGGGTGCTTGTCGCCCGAGAAATTAGTGAGTTTCTAATTTCTAATATTTTTAATTGCAATAACGACAATTATTAATAAATTTTATTTTAGTTAGTTTAGTTTTTTAACATTTCTCATTTACACTAACAAAACATAACTTCATACTCTCATCATAAACTGTCTGATGTTGCATGGATAAAAAAAAATCTTTGCATGATTTAGGAAATATTGAAATAGATTTTTATATTAAGTCATTGATTTATATTTTATTGAAATATTAAAACATTTTTTATCTGCGTATTTGCTTGATATTATATAATAATAAAAATTGGTAAATTAATTTGCATTACAGGATATTTAAAGTCGTCTATGCTATGTTATTTATTCATTATTGTCATAATTTTTTGTTATGATTAACTTGAATTAATTTATTTTGTTTAACTAGATTCGCCTTGTCATATTATTAACTGATTTATTACTAAATTTATTTATTATTTATCATTTTTTTCCATTTTCTCAGCAGTCTATTCCCTGAAGAAAGAATATACAGAACCTGTGCCTGACCTAAGGTCAAAAAGATGGCCGATTTAGGCCCTAGGAAATTCGAAGGGATTGGCCCTACGACTAAGGATGGAATGCCAATTGTACTTAGATCTGTAAGTAATAACTACATAATAAAATACAAATTAAATTACAAAAAAAATAAATTATTATTCTTGAAAGTGTTTCGAACCTTTTTTTTTTCAAATTTTGATTTCGAAATCAACAGAAAAATAATTAATAATAGATGTCATTCTTATTTAAATTGTTTAAATAAATAAGTCTTCTAAATGTTGTATATGAATTAAAACTTAAATATAATTTTTGCATTTTTTTTCTAATTAGAAACAAAACTTAACCAATTAATAAAGCTTGTATGTTATTTTTGGAACAATTTAATATATTAGTGTTAAAAGCATATTTATCATTTACTGACAAAAATTACACTTACTAACTTTTAATTAACATTTATGTTTTATCCAAATTTCATGCTTTCTGATGAACAGTTACTAGAGGTAAGTTTAACAAACTCTACTAATATTAAAAACAAAATTTTTTGTCGATTATTTAACATTTTGTGCTTATTAATTCTCTGATAAAATAGACCGTAACATATCGTTGTTATGGCAACGTAATTTATAATAAAATGGCGAATTTGTAACAAAATGGCGAAGTGCTATAGTGTTTGCTGTGCAGTCAGGCGTTGTTGTAGCAATACATTATGTTACAATCTATTTTATCGGAGAATTAATCCCTGTGTTTGTGTTTAATTTTGTAAGAATTATGTTTTTTACTATATTATTTTATTTTTATTTTTTTAGGAAGTGAAAGAAAACAATCAAGCGAAATGGTACAAACGAATGTACGACACGATACACAAAAGTCCGAACGATGGTAAGATTTTTATTTTATTTTTTAATTAAAAATTTAGTTTATTTAATAAACTAGATCATAAATGTGCAATTTATGTACGAGTTCGATTAAATTGAATATATATTAATTAATCAAAAATTAAATAATATTTTAATTTATATGAATCATCATCGTCTTGATCAGAAATAATATTAATATTACTAATTAATTATCAAAATTAATACTTAGTAAATTTTATGTACAGTAGGTTCTAATTTTGTCATATTTTTTATTTAGTCTTGTTAATATATTTTTTGATATGCATTTATTATAAAAATTTTAAATCTTATACTTTCATACATGCATTGTTAAAATATACATCTGGTTTTATATATAATTTATAATTTTTTTAAAATTCAATAACTATTTAGTATTTAGTATATGTGTATATCCTTATATGAAATAACATTCATATTTAGGTTAATTTGAAACTCATTGATTTGTTGTATTAATTAGACTATTTTTAAATTAATGTTTAGTTTCACATAAAACTAATTATATTTTTTTCAGATTTTGTCACAGTACGATACAAAACTCGAAGAGGTGAAAATTATATACATATTTTTTATTTGTCCTATGCTTTTTAATTCTACAGCTTTCTTTCTTTTCAATTATTCTGCTTCAAAATATATGCAATATAATTAACGTTTCGAAACTTGCGATAAATTTTTACTTATTTAGACATTTTGCTTTCCACATAATAAATATTAATTTTTCTTATAATAATAATACAAAATCGTTTTTCATGCATTATATGGCTTATGGTCACCTTTCAAGAAAAGTTTGACTACATAAAGAATTGTTTTCTATTTTTTTTTGAGGCTGAACTTTATTCACAATAATGACAACTTGTAACTTATTTTTTAGTTTAAGTTTAGTATTTTTTTTCTAACTTTTGTATTTCTATTTTCCGCACGCAATTTTTTTTACTAATGAAAATTTTGACACAGATTTTCTATCTTCACATTTCTGCACTGGTGATTGGTTTCTTCTGCACTACTTCATAAATTATTTTTACTATTTGTAAATTTATGTGATACTTGCTATGATATAAAATTTATTTTAATGACAAAAATGAAGTAATAAATTCTATAATATTCGTTCACACAGTGGATTATGTTAAACAACGCCTAAACAAATATTGTTTTTGCAACTTCACTTCATCCTGTAACAATTGTGTTTGAAGAACTTCATGGAATTAAAATTAACATACATTCATTGACTGCTTGTATTTTTTAACTTTTTCGCTGGCGATATGATCTCATTGTTTCAAGAGCTGTAATATCTGTCTTTCCTTAAAAATATTCCATTTTAATAACTTCAAACATCTATAGAAACGTTTAGTATACGGCACAAATATTTAATTTGTTTTAATATTTTCAAGGAACAGGGTAAAATATTCTTCTGATTCAGGCATTTTTCATTAAATCAAGATTTGTGCATATATTTATTATATAATTTGTAACTTCTAAAATACTCGATGTATGTGAATTGTGTCTTTGAGGAATTTGTTCAAAATTGAATAATCTGTATTATTGTCTAATATCATAATTCTATACAGCAAGTCGGTATACTTTAAATTATCACTTAAATATAGATTTTATTTTAATAGTGAATTGAAAATTCATGTCGGTGCATTTATTTATTTTATCTCTTGTAACTTTTAAACTACTTGATTTATGTAATAGATGTCTTAAAGTAATTTGTTTAAAATTGAACACTCTATAATGTTGTCTAATAACATAACGCTCTACAGCAACTCTATATACCTTTAAATCACATCAAAAAACAGACTGCAAATAAATAATGAATATGAGGAGAATATTAATGTGCATTTATTTATTGTATCTCTTGTAACTTTAAAAATATTTGATTTATGTAAATGATATATAAGAGAAATTTGTTTAAAATTAAACAATCCATAATGTTTTCTAATATCATAATGCTGTACATCAACTCGGTATACTTTAAAATTGCCCCTAAATACAGACTGCAGAAGAATTCTATATTGGAGTTTTATGCATTTGTTTGTATCATGCATTATGTGCATGTTTATTCAATCTTTTGTAACTTCTAAAATATTCGATTTATATAAATGATGTATCAGAGAAATTTCTTTATAATTAAATGGCCTATAATGTTGTCTGATATCATAATGCTCTACAACAACTCAGTATGCTAGAATGTAACTTGCCGACTCTATGCCGATTTCCTTGTTGATATCGGTACGCATCGACGACGACTAATCACAATCGTCGCGTATAGAAATGATATCATCGAGAGCGAATGAAGTACAGTTCGAGCGTAACGCCATTTCCGTTGCATTTGTACGGATTTACAATCTAGTCACGCCTAAAAAGTTTTACTTCAAAAATGAAAATGTAATATTTATTTAGGCATCGTGATAATTTTTGTATTTTAATACTGAACACCTAAATTTTAAACAATTAAGCTAAACTCGAGTATTGTCTGTTCCGAGCAATTTTAATTAATTAATTTTAAACATTCTAATTGTTTTTTTTTGTTTAATTGTATTTTGATACTAAACACCTAAATTTTGTATTATAGCAAGGCGACTGAAACTCTTCTTGAAACTTCATGAAATTTTATACAAGAGGCTTTATTTAATAATTTTAGCTCCATCATTTTCAGTAAATTTTCTAATTATAAACTGTACCTAGATTTTAACACATATTTAATTTCAAATTTAAAGTTGTTTCTAGTTTAAAAAAATTCTTTGGAACGACTTTATTAGTAATCATTTCATTAGCTGGAAAATTTTTATAAGCATTGGAATCTTATAAAAATTCATGCAAGTTTCACTTTCCCAGCTACTTCTATTACTATTACTATTACTATTATATTACCATCTAACATTTATCTTCTTTCTATTACCATTATCACCACAAAATCATCATCATCATCAAAATTTTCAAAATCGTGATAAAACGGAGTAGTTCTGTGGCCGCCCGCAGGTCGCTACCCGCACTACTCGTCCTGCTCCAGGCCTGGTTCGAGTCTCGGGAGATCAGTTGCAGGAGCAGAACAAAGAGGTCAGGCCAACGGTTATGCGAGCGAACCCGAACCTGCTCTCGGTTACGATTCGGATTATTACGAGGACAGAGGCGGAGCAGGGTTCAGGAGCAGCAGTCGGACTGATAGTAGATATGAACAGAGTAAGGGATAAAGTAGTATTAAGTAGTGTAAAGTAGTGTAAACTTTCTGATAGGTGTAATGAAATTTTCAGTTGTTTATTTCTCAGTAAATAAAGTTCCAACTTTTCTTAAACACGTTTACAATATGTTCGCGCCGATCAAAGCAGGCGGTTATGCGAATAGAAAACAAAAAATCATCAAATAGATAATTATAAAAAATCAAAGTCAATTCAATCAATACATAATCAAAACATATTAAATTTGTTATAAATACTATTATAACTTATAAAATAAATATATACAGTTATTCAATTAAGTGTTTTACATATGGTCCTTCGAAAAGTAAATTCAAATTCAATCAAAACAAGATCCTAAAAATCACAATATATGTGATTACATTAATTGTAGTGCAAAGACATGTACTTGTATGTCCTATAAGCGGTCAACTTTTTAAAAACTCAAATGTTTTTCCCCAAAAATATTTTTCCAAGAGTTTTTACCCAATATTTTTCCCCAAAATCTTTTTCCCAAAAATTGAAAAATTACAGTACATGGTTTTTTCCCCAAATTTTCTTTCTCCCGTAGCATCTGTTACAAAAAACACAAGTTTATTATTCCAGTTAAATGACAAAATTTATTACACTTTACTAGAGATGTTTTGTAGATTGTTCACTTTCTTTTTTGTAATTTCAAAATTATTTCTAATAGTTTTTTCTAATGGCTTTCAAATTTGTGAAATTTAAATTTAAACTTATAACATCACAGAAATTACTCTTAAGGCGATTTTGACTTCATCATATTCATTCAAGTTTTGATGAATTTTTAAACTTAAACTACTTGTCAAAGGTTTTCGTGATATATCAGTTAGTGCTTTAGGACCATATATTCTTTCTAATCGATTTTTTAATTGTTAATTACGAAGAAATGTTAGATCTTTACCAAAAACTAATCAAACCAAGAAAAAATTTTGAATTTCTAAAAACGATTCAGGGTCGTGGGTTAAAATGTGGACAAATAATTTTCACTTTTCTGTTATTAACAAAGAAACGGCTTGGCTGATCGTCGCACAAAACTGATAAACGCTAGTCCTTGTCGAATTAAATCAAATGGCTTTTAAATTTTTGAATTTCGACGAAAAGTTAAGTTTCAAAAAAAAAATCTGAAAACGTCGATGGAAAGTTCACACACGCACCAATCGATTTAGAATGATTTTGAAAATAATAGCTTCTCTATCTATTTTTTTATTATTTTCAGGTGTTTATAAAAATCAGCCTGGCAGGATCGAAGACTACACACCAGGTTGCAGTTCTTTGGCAGAACGAGAAACAAAACAGGTAAATATTCTAAATTTTATCTTGTCGGAAATAATCAGCAAATATTATTAAAAATAGTTTTGTGATTCGACCTAACGTTGTTTTTACTCACGAAAAAATAAAACTTACTCATATAAGCATTTCCATCTTTTTTCATTACAACATTGAATTCATTACAAGCACTTATTGAACTAACATCAAAAATATATAATTATATTGACTTTTAATAACAATATTAAACTGAAACTTAATATATAAATTATTAGTTTTCACATAAATCAGTAAATTTTTAAAAATAAAAAAAAATGGAAAGTCTTTGATTTTTTCGCCCGTTTTTATTTTTACCAAAATAAACCGAAAACGTTTCAGAATGTTTTAAAATAATTAAATAAGATATTTGTTATGTTATTTAGTGTAATAAAATTATTATGTAATTTTTATCTAAACCTATGTCTTTTCTCTTTTAGTGGTGGGATGAAGTAATGGACATATTTGACGGGGTACGAAATTTTTTTATATATTTTTAAATACTTCATATACTATTTCCAAATTATTGAGTTATGCTATTATATATGGTGACGGTTATGCTTAAATTTGAAAAAGGAAATTAAATATTTTAAAAATAAAGTAAAATTTTAAAAGTAAAGTAAAATTATAACGAAACGAGTTTTTAAACAGACTAATATTATTTAATCTAAACGAAAAATATCAGGACAAATAAATTCAACATTATAAATAAATTAAAAAATGTTTAGCCAGTCATTTCGATATATCCACTATTCAGAAAATAATTACAATTACCATTAATATTTTAGCATACTTTTAATAAAAAGGCAGAACGGCATACTTGTCAAATAAATATAAATAAATATAAGAACAATTAATTAAACAAATAGAGAGAAATTCATTTAATTCAACATTTATACAGTTTCAATCAGAACACAAAATTCCAACGATAATATTATTAGTTTAATAATTTTTTGAAAATTATGAGCATGTTTATTACAAAAAGGACCCTACTGACAATCAAACTGAGTTTCGAGTAGAAAATTGTTGAATAAATCACAGCTTTAAGAAGGACTCTACTAACGAGCAAACTCATACAAAAAGAATTATTAGACAGTTATGACCAAAACTCATAATTTTCAAACTACATGAAATTTTTTTTCTAATATTTCCATAACAGTTCGTATCAATTGACGTTGAGTTCTGGGACACCCTGTACAATGACAGCTTAAAAGTTTTTTTTTTTTAATTTTTTGATTAAACAAATTAATCGTTCAAACTTGCTATCACGTAGTTAAGGAAATTTGTAACAGGAAATTTTGTGAAAACTCATAATTTTCGAACTACCTGAGATAATTTTTTTTCCAACGTTTCCATGATAGTTGGTACCAATTGACGTTGAGTTCTGGGACACCCTGTACAATGACAGTAACCAAGTTTTTTTTAGAATTCTTCAAACAAAATAATTATTGGAACATGCTTTCAAGTAGTTAAAGAAATGTGCAACAGGAAATTTTGTGAACATTTATAATTTTTAAACTACGTGAGATATTTTTTTTTCTAATATTTTCATGACAGTTTGTATCAAATGACGTTGAGTTCTGGGAAACCCCGTACAATGAGAGTATACAAGTTTTTCTAACATTTTTTGATTAAAGAAAATAATTGTTCGAACTTGCTGTCAACTAGTTAAGGAAGTTTGTTACAGGAAATTTTGTGAAAACTCATAATTTTCAAACTACCCGACATAATTTTTTTTTCTAATATTTCCATGACAATTGGTACCAATTGACGTTGAGTTCTGGGACACCCTGTGCAATGACAGCTTACTAGTTTAGACTTTTTGCTGACAAATATCTCGTTCTGCCTTTACCACATATACTATTATATTTTTTTCAATTTCTAATTCAATTTTTCATTTTATTTTTTCGTCTCCTCTCATGTTGCCGTACTGTACTGGTGAATGCTTCCTATGGTGTTGGAATTCCCTGTATATCGATGGATGTGTGCATAATCAAAAAAAAAAAAAATGAATCCAAAAAATCCATAATTTTTTACATAAACCAAACTAAATGTGGGCTCTTTTTATTATAAATTATTTCATAATAATAATAATAATATGCACGTTTTCCTGCATGCTTGCTTGCACTTGAAATTGAAATATATTTTTCGAATTTTAAAAATCGTGAACCGAAATTTGTGACCTATTTTTTTTTTCAAACGTGTTTTTGATATATACGATATTTTTGTTTTTTTTTTGTTAAATTTTGTGGTGTTTTGAATTTGAAAATAATTTTTGTTACAAACTTTTTACAATAAATTGATACTCAACATGTTGGTCTACTTCATCACTTTGTATTCTGTCTCTTTTTTTTAATTGTTTATAAACTCAAATTTGGTTGAATTAACAAATTGTTTAAAATTAACATTTGGTCACAAAAATAAAAAAATACCTTATTGTACCAAATTAAATTAAATTTTGTGGACTTGATAATAATTATTTTATTTAAATTATAATGAATTTTGTAAAACCTATTTTTATTATTTTGTTATGTTTGGTCTGGTTTACAAAATCTGGTTTACAAAATGCAATTTTTCTACCAAATTTCTTTTTTACATTTTGCACGCTTTTGTCAAACCACAAAATGCATTATTATAAACTGCACATATAAAAATTTATTTATAATATTTTTTAAATTTTTTGCTAACTATTTTTTCATATATAAAAATTTTAGTGGTTAGATGATAATGATGCAAAACCGCATATAAATGCAATGCTATCCAGGACAAAACATATACCAGTAAGATACTACATATTTTAGGGAATGCAATACCGGTATACCGTCTAAACAACCGGTATTTGCCCTGGAAATACCGGTATTTTCGGTATTAAAACATAAACCTTTCTTGATACATATCACACACGAATATAAATATAATATAAATATAAATTTCATAGTAATTAAAAACAGATGTCTCTTTAGGTCATTCTGTTGTATAAACATGTGTCTAAATATTATCACAACTGAAAGATGTTTAATTCTCTTAATGTAAAAATACTATGATATTATGATATTATGTTGGATATAGTTCTGTTAATTAATTATCAAAAAAACACATTTTGTTGTTTAGTTGCGTATACATTAGTACAGTATATTTTTATATTTCATTTCTAGGTTTTTACTTTTTTTATTTATATTCGGTTTTTTTATATTCGTACGAGCAAGTTCCAAGTATGTTTACATTCTTAAATATCATACCGGTTTTAGGAGTGAAAATACCAAAATACCAGTTTTAAGAGAGAATATACCGAAATATCGTTGCAGATTCTTTTGATCGGTATTGCATTTCCCAGTTAGTAGTAGGGTTCGTTATAGCATGTTTTTTTACTATTTTTCACTTTTTCACTTTTTAGATTTTTTTTACATTTAGCTTATGTATATAGCTTAGAAAATTAATTACTAAATAATTGGAAATTTCAATTGTATGAATTATATTTGCAGCATCTCGAACAGCAGAAATATGCGACGACAAGCAATTCTAAATCGTATGGACATTTATCAAGGTGAGATAAAAAACTATTTTATGTTAAAAATAAATGTTGAAAAAAGTACAGAAAATAAATTGATACCATGCTCATTACATCTACACGTATTAATATTATATGAAAACCGAACCTTTTATATAAAAATTACATTTGAATTAAATTATTTTCTATATATTTAGATAAAAAATATATATTTCAGTGACGTTGATGTGTTTATCTTTTATTTACTAATATTTATATCTAATAGTTCCAAATATTTTTAATACCAATATTATACAAGATTTATGTTCAATACATCTTTTCGTGAGTGAAAGTATGAGCATGTCTTCCATTTAATTTAAGTTTTTCTGAATTTTTTGGACATGATATATATCTCAACTATTTTGTTGAAGAATAAAAATCAATAATTCAAACATAAATTCAATGTGTATTAAATGATATAAATTAACAATTTACTGTTTTTTGAACACCATAACGTAACTGTTTCTTTGTGGAATTAAAATCAGCATTGATTTTTTAGTCGAAATCATACTGAATCAGGTTCAGCAAGTTCTTTGTAATTATTACAAGTATTTTTGTTACCAGTAAACTTCAAAATGAGACTTTTCACCTAGATTTTTTTATTCTGGCATATTCTTCTCTAGATCTGAAGAATTTCCCAGATGGGAAAGTCCTTTTGTTGTTTTTGTTATGAGTACCAGCTCCTAGGTTTTTCTTAGCTCCAAATCAAAAGATCTTCCATAATGAGAAGTTCTTTTGTTGTCGTTATTTTTATTAGTACCACCTACTGCGTTTTTCTTAGGTTCAAATCTAAATATTTTTCCAACTGGGAAGTCCTTTTATAGTCACTATTATTAGTACCAAATTTAAAGACTCTCCCAGATGAGAATCTTTTTATAGTCTTTATTATTATTGATATCAGCTGCTTCGACTTTCTTAGTTTCAAATCTAAAGATTTTTACCAGGAAAATTCTTTTATTATGTGTATCATTATAAGTACCAGCTGCTAGGTCCAAATCTAAAAAATCTTTTAAAATGGGAAGTCCTTACATTATTTCCATTATTATTGATACCAGCTACTTCGACTTCTTTAGTTCCTAAAAATTCTCTTAGAAGGGGAAGTCCTATTTTGTCTTTACTTTTATTGATATCAGCTGCTTCAATTTCCTGAGATCCAAATCTAAAGACTTTCTCAGATGAGAAGTCCTTTTATCGTTTTTGTTATTTTTAGTAAAAACTGGTGAGTTTTCTTTAGCTCGAACTCTAAGATTTTTTTTAACTGGAAAATATAAAGATTCCCCTAAATGAAAAGCCCTTTTGTTGTCTTTATTATTATTAATATCAGCTGCTGGGTTTTCCTTGGGTCCAAATCTAAGTACTCTCCAAAAAGGACCTTTTATTGTTTTTATTATCCTTAGTACCAACTGGTGCATCTTAGTCAGCTCTTCTCCTCACAAATAAAAGTTCTTTTGTTGTCTTCAATATTATTGATACCAGTTGCTGCTTATTTCTTAACTATTCTGTTTCAACAAAAAAAATATCTAGGAGTCTCTAGATTCGTGCCCAATCATGGGTACCAATCAGACGAAATTACATTGACGTAGGTTTATACAAATATGTTCACCAGTACATATAAATTTTTATCCAGACCTTCTAACTCCAAATCTGAATGTTCTCAAAATGTGAAGTCCTCATATTGTCTTTATTATTATTAGTACCAGTTGTTGGATATTTCTTAGTGCTTTTTTGTATTAACAAAAAATTCTTTAGAAGAGTCTTTAGATTGTGCTCAGATAAGTCAAAATTACAGCAAAGTAGATTCATTGTGCTCTTCTTTATTCTTACAAACGTTTTAGTTACCAGTACAGTCTTCAAAATTAGTTATCTCTAAATTTTTTATCTAGACCTTCATCAAATCTGAAGGTTCTGCGAAATGGGAAGTTCTTATATTGTCTTTCATATTATTAGTACCAGCTGTTGGATCTTTCTTAGTTCTTTTTTGTCTTGGCATAAAATCGATTTAGGAGAGTCTTTAGATTTGTGTCTAAATCTACAAAATTACATTAAAGTCGTATGCTTTTCTTTATTCTTACAAACATCTTAGTTACCAGCATAGTCTTCCAATATAGTTATCTTTAAATTTTCTATCTAGACTTCTAGAAGTCTTATTATTAGTACCAGGTGATTGGCGTTTTCCTTGGTTTTTCTTCTCTGTTTCAGCAAATAATCCATTTGGGAGAGTCTTTAAATTTAAAGCCTTTTAATGGTTGCATTTACTCTGAAGAAGGTTAATACCTATGAAAACCAGTTTTATTTATATTTTCTTTAAACTTCTCATCCAAACCTTTCAATTCCCGCATGTCCTTCTTCAAATTTGAAAACTCTCCTAAATGTGAAGTCTCTTTAGTGTCTTTATAATAATAATTTACCAGCAACTGGGTTTTTTAGCATTTTCTCTGTCTCAGCATAAAACTCATTAGACAAAATTTTAAGGTTTGGAGCCAAACTTTGGTTTGGCATTTACACAGAAGTAGGCTTACCAAGTTTTTCCTTATTTGTACAAGCCTCTTTATTACCAGTACAATCAGTTTTCTTAATATTTTTCCTAAACTTCTCATCCAAAACCAAAAACGCTCCCAAATGTGAAGTCTTTTTATTGTCGTTATAATAATAATTTACCAGCAGCTGGGTTTTCCTTAGCATTTTCTCTGTTTTAGCATGAAAATCATTTTGCATAATTTTTAGATGTGGAGCCAAACTTTGGTTTGGCATTTCCACAGAAGTAGGTTTACCAAGTTCTTCCTCATTTGTACAAGTCTCTTTATTACCAGTACAATCAGTTTTCTCAATATTTTTCTTAAACTTCTCATCCAAAACTAAAAATGCTCCCAAATGTGAAGTCTTTTTAGTGTCTTTATAATAATAATTTACTAGCAGCTGGCATTTCCTTAGCATCTTTTCTGTTTTAGCATAAAAATCATTTTGCAGAGTCTTTATATTTGGAGCCAAACTTTGGTTTGGCATTTACACAGAAGTAGGCTTACCAGGTTCTTCCTCATTCTTACAAGCCTTCTTGTTACCAGTACAATCAGTTTCCTTAATATTTTTCTTAAACTTTTCATCCAAAACCAAAAACGCTCCCAAATGTGAAGTCTTTTTAGTGTCTTTATAATAATAATTTACCAGCAGCTGGGTTTTCCTTAGCATCTTTTCTGTCTCAGCATAAATCTCATTAGACAAAATTTTTAGATTTGAAGCCAAACTTTGGTTTGGCATTTACACTGAAGTAGGTTTACCAAGTTCTTCCTCATTCGTACAAGCCTCCTTGTTACCAGTACAATCTTCAAAACCAGTTTTCTTAATATTCTCCTTAAATTTCTCATCCAAACCTTTCAACTCCGGCCTGTCCTTCTCCAAATCCAAAGACTCTCCCAGATGTGAAGTCCTTTTATTATCCTTATTATTATTAGTACCAGATGCTGCGTCCTCCTTAGCCCTTCGGCTCTGTCTCAGCATAAACCCCAATTCACTATCAGGCAGATCCATCAATTTTTCGATACAAGTATTGAGATAAGAGTATTTGCCTACAAAATAGCCTACGGTGATGGCTATAAGAACTTTGGGTGTAGGGCCCCAGATTTTATTAGGTTTTAGGTACCCATTTCTCACGGCTTTGTAGGTTAGGAAACTAAGCATCGTGGATAAGGGTAGACTTCGGAAATAGAAGCTCTCGTAGTCACATTCCATCAAAACTCGGATTTCATCTTCGTTGAATTCATAATTTATGCCTTTGGTGAAAACTTTTTCCATCTGGTTCCTGTCGCTGTTTGGAGCAAACGACCAAATGTATCCTCCGGGGAAGAAGGACTTCATGTTTTGCACGAAGTGGTAAAAGTTTCTCATTTTGGATTAAATGTTCATTTTCAAGGTTTTTGGTGGTAATAGTTTTCTGGGTGTCTAGTTTATTTTATCATATTTTGTGAACAGGAGATTTGGAATAAGTTATTGGTGTTTACATTTTGAATTTTGGTAATAACGATTTTTTTGGAAATTTTATATTAGAAAAATGACACATGTCAAATTTTGTTTTTAATATAGGGAGCCATTATATTGGATTTTGTAAAATAAATTTTTGGGCTTGCAACTAGCAACTATCAATAATTACCCAATTGCAATTTATGATATAAAAATTATTTGTAACTAGTGATGTATGGCATCGTGCCTTAAGGCAAATTGCTGGAACTTCCCGTACCGTAATGAAATATTCGAGATATTTTAAACGTTTTCAAATATATTATTACAACAAATACTGTAGTAACTTTCATTATTTTTGCTCTCTTATTGTTATATCTGAGCTAATCAAATGTAAATCATTAATTAATTTATCTCCAACATTAACAAACGTCATTTCATTTAGAATTCAATTAAAAAAAATAGTTGCCTAATTTGCACAAAATTGAAAAAGGGCGCCCGTATAGTCACAGTCTAAACGCATTTGCAAATTATTCTGTGAGACATTTTTACTTATACTGTGCTTACTTGGCGGCATTTTCACATTTTTCAATAGTTTTCACAAATTGGAAAAGTTCTCCAGTACATAAACAGTCTAAACGCACTTGGGTAAACATTTGAACCAGAGTGCGCTCTACTGTGCTTAGCCTGGATAATTTTTTGAATTTTTAATCCAAAATTACAAAATATTTTATGGAAAATAAATAAATATATAATAATTTTTTATTCTCAAAAGCAATTGTTTTGTCAATACAAGCAGAAAGTTTTTTAGATCATTGAAATCGGACGCTTAGTTCACTCAAAAACTGCCATTTTTGCACATTTAGCTCGATATCTCCAAACGGATGTACCTCCTTTGCCAAAAACTACTCATCATTTCTCCCCATCATTACAAATAGAATGCTTTTTAGATCATTGAAATCGATACTCCGTTCTCTCATAAACTCGATTTGTACTTTCTGCACTCTTTGC